TGTGTGTGTGTGTGTGTGTGTGTGTATATATATATATAAATATATAAAATGGACGTTTCTGGAAATTTGCCAACTGACTAGGACATTGAAACTTGACTAGAGTGTTCTTGGCCCTGTTAGGTGTTATTAACTCATCTTGACAAGTGGTCACTAGACTCTGACCCTGGGCCTCCCTCTGTGCTGGCTCTGGAGATGCAGTGGCACATAGGTACAGCTCTTGGCCTCATGTAGCTTATAGTCTGCGGAGGGTTGAGGGTGGAGAGCAAGACTTTAATCAAGCAAGCACACAAATAGATAATTAGAAATTATGACAAATATGCTAAAGGAAAGATAAATAGTACTATTGAAGCATGTGGCCAGGACCTGACCTGGGAGGGTGGTTCAGGAGAGGTTTCCCCGAGGAAATTACTTTGACCTGAGATCTGAAAAACAACCAGGTGTTAACTAGGTGAAGCAGGTGGGGAGAGCATCGGTCAAGGGGAGCAGATCCATCTTGTTTTGATGAATGGAGTTCAGAGGAGCTTTGCCCGAAAACGTTGATGACTTTCACAAACTTGGAGGCACAGTGCAGTGTGGTAAGGAGACAGGCTCTGATCCAGAACGCCTGGGTTTGAATGCTGGCTCTGCTGCTTGCTATGTGTTATTTGCATATCAACTACTGACTTCTGGTGTGCTGCTATATTAATTCAGGGGGAGAAAAAGTGTGATCCTCTGATGTTGAGGATGAGGTCCAGGGAGATTGAATGATTTCCCAAAGATCAAAGAATTAGTTAATGGCAGATCTGACCTGGGAAGAGAATTTTTTAGAAGTTCAATTCAAAGCTTTTTCTGTTGAATCCTTGCTTCTCTATTCATTCACAGAGTTCTAACAGTGCATTTGAGTATTTAGGAATGAAAATGGGTATCTTCTATGCATCAGATTGTTTGAACTTCTCAGAATTTGTTTGAAAATGGTTTGGGTGTGGCTCTGATTGACTTGAGTTTGATAACTGGATTCAGTCTTTTTGGGGTCACTGGTTCCTTTTGGAATAGAGCGGTGCGGTTGCAGGATATCTAAGTTGATTTCAATTTGATGGTCATATTGGCAGCAACCAGCCCTTACCCAGTATGCATATGCCAGGCACTTTACAGGTGCTGTAGCACAGGCATGGGACACTCATAAACAACACAGGCATGGTCCTGTCCTTGAGAATGTAGACTTAATGGGATTTGGTGTTAGACACATAAATCAGTCATTTCTCCTCCGTGCAAATAGTGCACTGCTTTGGGGAATGTACGAGAGCTCTTTGCTGGGCAGAAGAGGGAGCACAACCGACTCTCAGAGAAGAATTCATCCTGAACACTGGGATCTCAGATGTCCCAGATATAATGAATCAAAATTATGACATGCTGTAAAGGAAGCCCTTTATCATGCTCACCCATGTGTGAGTGGGGTGAGGTGGGCGTCATGGAGCAGGAATAGGGCTGTGGCTATCTTGAGAGAGATCTGTGTTTTCTTTAGATGTACTTATGTTTGGGGAAACTTAATGTGACTCTTGGTATGTGTGAGTCAGTGTAATTATTACCTACATTGTCGTGATGGGATTCAAAATTGAAACTTAAAAGTTTCCAGTTCATTCTGATTCATCATTTGCCATTCTTATAAAGGTAGAAACTCAGACCCAAAATCTTTCCTAAAGCTACAAACTCTTTTGTATCTGACTTTTGGGTTACAAAACAATAGGATCTTGTATGGTAATGTTTTCTATTTTTCAAAGCACTGTCATCTACGTTATCATATTTGATCCTTGCATTATTATCCCCATGTTGTAGGCGAGGAAACTGAGGTTCAGCAAGGTCAACAGACTTCTCTGCTAAGTGGGACCTAGGGTAGGACCTCCTTGAACAGTTTGACCTTGATTTTCCAGATGGAGGCCTTTGTTGATTAGAATACAGGTAAGGAATCTCTTAGGTAATCATCTTTTACAAATTAAAATGGCCACCATAGGTCCTAGACTTGCCACCAGAGCTGGGTAGGGTACTGTGATGTTAGTGCACAAACAAGCCCTTTGCTCCAGCAGGTTCTGAGGCGGGATTCCTCCAGTGGTGGGATGTTAGGGGTACAGGGATCATGGCTGTGAGCCACAGCAGCGGGTAGGAACGTAAGGCTGGTTGAATTTGTATTTCCTTGGAGTTTGGGTTCTTGGGTTTCGTTTAGAAAATTGTGGGGCACTGTGTAGAGCAGTGAATCCTTTCCCAGGAGCTGGGGGATGCAGTGAAATTACTACCACAGAGATGATACAGACGTTTAAAAAATACTTTTGCCCATGCACAGCCCAGTTTTCATTCTACCCACACTGCCCTCCCTAAAAAAGTTTAAAAAAAAGCTCACTGTGGACTTTTCATGTGGCTTCTTTGTGTCATAGAGCCTGGTGAAAGCCTTAACTGAGTTTAAAATTTTCCCCTTATTTGTGTATCTCCTTTCCCACATGTCTTGAACATTCTCCATATGTTTAAAAGTAGTACTTTTAATTTAGTTGGAGAGGTAGGTAAAAGTTTAGGCTAAGTATCCTGTAGTCTTTTGTTTCTGTGAAACTCTCAGATTGTAGAATGTCTAGGGTTGTTATCTCAAGGGTATCCTGAAATTATTTGCTTTGTTTCTCTTGAAAAGCGACTTTCGTCTAATCTTCCCTTCACAGCCAATCTAAAGAAGCCCCAAGTGACCCTCCAAACACTTGTCTATTTTGTTTCATCATAGCAGTTACTAGCATCTGATATTTTCTTACTCATCCATTTGCTTCCTTTTCCCTCCATCTCCGCTCCCATGCAAACTGGATGTGAGCGGGGGCCTTGTCTTTCTGTTCAATGCTGCGTCTCAGCACCTCAGACGGAGGGTGGCCCCTGGAGGCACCGCTCTTGGTTTGTTAAATTAACAAATTTCTCTTGACACTATTTTCTAATTTTTTTCTTTTATCTTAAGACTGAAACATGGAGAGCGGAATGTTTTGCCTGCTGAAACTCATCCTGATACCAGTGTTATTGGGTAAGTAGAACCAAGGGACCAAGGCGGGTATTTGGTTTCCTGTATGTCTCATGCATTTTTAAAAGCAAATTTTGTATATTTTCATTTCCCCTTGGTTTGTTGAAAATGGAAACCCTAACCTGGACCTTCATAGTTCTGCTGAAACAGCTGTTTTAGAAGCCAGAGAGCATACTCTTTCTTGGAAAGCTGAATCTTTGCCTGTTTCTGTAAGAAACTGAATGCCTTAGGGTCCTTATTGGGTGTTCTAGGACCCTCCTATGTGAAACAAAGAAAGTTTCCCTCTGGCATTCCTGCACTTTTAATTGTCATCTTTAAAACCACAGTTAGTCTCAGATCAGGAAATGAAATTACCAAAGAGAGTCCCAGAATCCGTGTCATTGCTTTCTGGCTTTAGCCACGCCAGCCTTCTCGCGGTTCCTCAAATGCACTGAGCTCTTTCCCAGTTCTGGGTGGTTTCTTTTGCCTGGAGCCTTGTCTCTCTGCCTCACCCTAGCAAGCCTTCCTAGCATATCCTTTTCCTTCGGGTTTCCCCTCAAGCTCCACTTCCTTCTCCAAAGCCTGCTCCAGCTGCCTCCTCAGACCAGGCTGGAGTCTCCTGTGCACGGGAACCTGGGTGCTCGGGGCTGCTGTCTGTTGTTCATCTCCACTTCTTTTGCACTTTTTCATCCTTTTTCCCCCCTCATCTTTCTCTGTATCCCATGGACATAGGTCTGTAGGAAGGATAAATTAATTAGGGTTGCTCTCATAGCCTTTCATTTTTCTCTGTTACCAGCTTTTTGATTGTGCGTGGTGACCTGAATGCTGACTCAGCAAAGCACATGAAAGAGTTGCCTTTGCTCTAATTCCAGGCAACAGAGAGTGCGCACAGACACGCAGACACACACACACAGGCACACACACACACACAAGAAATGTATGTATTAGAGAATTTTTTTGTCACGGAAGCAGGGTTGTCATGATTTCAGAGGGTATTTAGACACTTCCCCAGAGGTCTGTGAAGCAGCCTGCAGGATTTTGCCCTTCTGTCTGGAGAGTTTACAGTCCAGCCCTGTATGTAGGGGCGTGGTGGCATCAGGGGTTTGTCCTTCTTTGTGGAGAGGTTTTCCTCCTCTGTCGGAACGTCTCGTTTTCTTCAGCCATGTCTCTGCAAAGGTTACCTGTCAGGCCTAAGTTTGTCTTCGCTTTGGTTGTTGCTCTTACTTTCTGGCAAACCTTCATTTAATTCTACATACAGTGCTCTTAATATTAAATTAAATTAGCTTTTTTATGTCTTTAACCACACGTAAAGTTGCTCAGTTCTTCCTTACGGGAAAATTCCAAATCGTTTTTGCAGCTAATTTTGATTCTTTCAAACTAATTTCCTCCAAAGGGTTTAGAGTTCATGTTTTCCTTCACATCTTCCCTACTGTGTGTGCCTGCTGTTGGGCAGGAAGTTAGCTCTCTTCTCTCAGGGCAACAGCTTGGATGAAAAGACTGGCATATTTTCTGTTTATTCTCATATGTGTTCACTTGGCTCTTTTTTGGTATAAACTGGCCAGCATCTAAAAGTGTCTTTCTTAATGTTGTTGTCTCTTTGCATAGAGCATATCTTGTGAAAACAGAAATAGCCATGTAATGCTTTTCTCTTTTAGTGAAAAGAGAAATTACTTGAACAACATACAGCTAGTGGAGTGGTACCACGTATGCAAACAGCTAGAGGCCGAAAGGCAGAGGCTGATGGCAGAGCTGGAGGGGGGAGGCAGGGAAAAGGCAAACCCAAAGGAAATTCAAGGGGAGAGCTGTGCTCTGTATTGGCCTGTTTACACGGACCTGCACTATGGCCAGAATCAGCCACCAAATTCAGAGATAAGCTTTTGTAAAGGAATTAGAAGGGAGAAGAGGAAAGAAGTAAAAATATCTGTGAATTGGCTTTTCAGATAGGGAACCCATGGGAAACTAAGAGGAAGAGATATCCCATTTCCTGTATATAGGTGTCTAAATTCTTGGCCTGAAAGGAGGGACTTCAGGGTTTCTCCTCTTTCTTTAGAAAGGAGGTTGGGGAAGGAAATTCTGGAAAAGGGGAAGGGACGAGCTAGAACAGGAGTGTTTGGCATTTATGGAGTGTGAAGACTACAGAACCCTGCTGACTTGAGCCATGTGGGTAACTAGAGGGTGTTCTCTTACCCTTGGGAATGCCAGGCTACTTTGTCCATGTTGGGTCATCTGGGGGAGGAGTATGTGTGATACTTGATGATTAATACTGATTTTTTTTTTGTTGAGAGTATTTGTCTAAATGACGTCTCCTCTTGCCTTTGACTTCTATAGATTATTCCTTGGGCCTGAATGACTTGATTGTTTCCTCCCTTGAGCTAACAGTCCATGTGGGTGATTCAGCCCTGATGGGATGTGTTTTCCAGAGCACAGAAGAGAAACGTATGACCAAAGTAGACTGGATGTTCTCATCAGGAGAGCACGCCAAGGTAACAAGGAAGAAATATTACCTTTTGGTAGAAGCCCCTGGCCAATGGTGTCAGGACAGTGTGCAGAGAGGGAGAATCAGGTCATCAGGTGTCATGAGGTGGCGTTGCAGGAGTTTGGGCTCTGGAGCTTGTCAGAATTGGGTCTCTTTCTAGCTTGGCCACTTGGCTGTACAATCAGCTGGGTGAGTTACTCAACCTCGCTGAGCTTCAGCTTACCCATCGGTGAAGCTGAAGTTCATTATCATAGTGGTAATGCTTAACTTTCAGGTCATTGAGAAGCTAATGGGAGACGTGCACATGAAGTTCTCTTTGTTTCTTTTCTCTATTTCTGCCCTTTGTAGAGTAGTGTAGGTGGGTGAAAGGGGTGATAAGGGCGAGAGAGCATTGGTCTCGACGGAAGAGTTACAGCCTAGGCGTAAGAATGATGTCACAGTAATCTTTTTTTTTGAGAGGGGAAAGATTCTTTCAGCATTCCATCGCCCCATTTGTGTGCTGGGGCATCATCTCTTTCTCCTTCATGGCTGCTTGAAGTGTTGGGATTTGCAGATGCAGCGTGGCTGAGTGAGGGTCTTTCCTGGGAGCTCTTTGGAGTAGAAAAGAGAGTATTAAGCCTCATCAGAGATTCTATGGAGATACTTGTATTCAGGATCATTTGTGAAATCTGTCCTAAGTAATGTGTTACTAACAATATAGTCCCAATGTTTGCAAATGAAATATTGTTTTTGTACCTCAGAGCACGTTATCCCTATAATGCTACTCTCACTCAATTTTTCATTACTATTTATTACTGTAAGAGGGATAGACCCATGGTATAAATAGAAATAAAAATTCCTAAGGGCTCCCCCTCCCAGCCGGTAAACCATTTCCTGTTGATGCCTCCTCATGCCGTATGATATGCTGCCTGGAGGAGGGCGGAAAGGAGAGGAGTGACAGCCACCATGCCGGGAATTCTCACAACCACCAGTCTGTGGGATTGTGTCATGCCTTGGAATGCCATATAATCCAAGGGCCATGGCAGAAAACCAGGTGGAGTTGGGAGATGGTTTTCAAAGGTTGTGAGTTTGAATCCCCAGAGTGACCTTCAGAGTGGGTGTTACATTTTACCTTAAACTGTAAGAAACGAAAATGTGTGCACTGTATTTCTCCATTGGTCTTTGTAAGAACTGAGCCACAGAGCCTTGTGCAAGTTAGCGTATTGCCTGGCACATCATTATTATTAACTGGGTACCAAGTACTTTTTGATCATGATGATGATGATGACTATGCTGTCTCCACATAACAGGGTCTTTTGAATCCAGACTCCTAGGTCTTGTGTCACTGACTTTAATTTTCGCTGATGTTGTGTTGCCCTCCAGGAGGATTTTGTGCTATACTATTATGCCAACCTCAGCGTGGCTGTGGGGCGCTTCCAGAATCGTGCGCACTTGGTGGGGGACATCTCACGCAAAGACGGTTCTCTCTTGCTCCAAAATGTGGAAGAAGCTGACCAGGGAAACTATACCTGTGAAATCCGCTTTGAAATGGAGAGCCAGGTGTTCAAAAGAACAGTGGCGCTGCATGTACTGCCAGAGGAGCCCAACGGTACGTGAATGCTGACTTAGAGAAGGGCGAAGGTTTGACTGCAAAGAGGAAAGTGAATGGACTTTGTTGAGCAAATGCCAGCCTTTTGGCTAGGTCCTTACCACAGAGGGAGTCCTCAGTAAACGGTGCTCTTTAAATAGAAATAATGAGATCATTATTTTATTATTACTTTAAACATATTTCATCTTCATGAAAATGCTGTGAACGAAGTATTGTTCTTTTCATTTTACAGATGAGGTACCTGAGCCTTAGAGAGGTTAAGCGACTTGCCTCAGGGCACATACTTATTAAGTGGCATATTCAGTACTTGAATCCTGGCGCCTCTGTCAACAAAGTCCATCGTCTTTCTATTATACCCTGACACCTCCCATCAGTTGTCCACACCGATGCCACGTCCATATTTCATAGGTCCCTATGTTAAGTGTTCTGGGGGATATAAAAAAAAATGAGCAGCTCTCTCTAACTTCTTGGGGCCTCATTTTCCCGTTTGTAAATGGAGGGAGTGGCTTCTGTAGATTGGTGGTTTTAAAACTGTGCTCTGTAGGACCCTTAAGGTCCAAGGGACCTGGGAGGCCACACAAAGGCTGAGAACAGATCAGGGGGTTGATAACGGCCTGGGCAGGTGGGACCTCAGGCTGCCACTTCCACTGCAACCAAAGTCCTTTTCCTTTTTCTAGTTTGATTCATTGGGCTGCCAGGTAAGATTTTGTTTGCAGAAAGAATGCTTCTGCTTTAAAAAAGATTGAAAACCACAGAATTAGATACATTCTTTAAAAGTGTGAGATAGGAGAAACAGTCTATGGCTTCAGGAAATCTTGCAGTCTGGTTAGAGAGCTGGAATCTGGACCCTCCTCTCTCCACCGCCTAGTTTAGGTCCATTCTTTTAATGAGCCCTTTGGAACAGCCTGTCCTCCTCTTTGGTGACACCTGTTCAGCTGTGTCTTCCCTCCTCACCTGGGTCTGTGTTCTTTGTCCCCTGACCAGCCTTGGGCACAGTGCCTGGCACAGAGTAAGCAATCAATAAACATTTGTCGAGTGAATGAAATTCTTGAATTAGTGTCCCTCACTTGAATCTGATTTCTAAAAAAGGAATCGTAGAAGGAATTGCAGAAGGTGGCCTCTGGCCTCTCTCCTAATTTTTCCTACTTTTTTCAATTGGCATTTTTCTTTTGATTCCAAAGCTTTGGTTCTCTAGGAAGAGGAAATGAATCAGCTGCCTGTGTTCCGCAAGGATTGTCTTTGGGCAACTGCTTTCCGCTTCGTCCTCTGATGCCGTGATCGAACACTTGTCCATACAAGCATGGCCTACAAATTGGGTGCCTTCTTCTGCTTAGAAGAGACACAGAGGGCACGAACCAAAAGGAGCCAGTCTCGAGAGTTGAAGAATCCATGGAAACAGGCCAGAACAATTTTAGGGGTAGTCAGATATTTCCCCAGTGGCCAGTGGAGCAACTTGTATTTATTTTTCCTTTCCAGCCAGAGTCAGAATAATTCCAACTCCTAACAGTTTGCCTGTGGCCAATGGAAAGTTGTCCAACTTGTTTCATGGAGGTTGTCTCCTCCCATGTGAAAACTCTATCTGTGCAGTCGTTTATAATTTTCTCTACAAGGTTGCCCCTCAGTTTATAATTTTTCTATGATTACTACTTCAATTCCTTTTTTCATGGTTCTTATTTTAAATACGATAGACAATATTCTGACAAATGAAGATAATATTAACTTCCTGGACCTTTGCTCTAGAAGCAGCCATCCTCTGCTTATGTGAAAGTGGTATAGTATAGTGAGGGAGAAAGCCTGGGCTTTGTTTTCACTCAGGCCTGGGTTTGAGGGCTGGCTCTACTTTTTACTGGCCATGTGGCTTTGGGTTCTTTCGCTTTCTTCCTCTGTAAAGTGGGAGAGAATAGTGTCTATCTCAAAATATTGTAATGACTAGCTGATAGACTACATACACGGTGTCTAGCATATGTGCCTCATGTGCTGAAAGGACTCAGAATGTTCAGTCATTGTTATTGCATTTAAAAAATAGAGTTCAGTTCTTAATGTGCTGATGGATTTAGAGTTTCCTTCCCCACTGGAATTCTTTGGAGTGAATTTTTATTGCTTTCAAAATAATTCCCTCCATGGAGTTTCAAGTTCATAATATTTTCTTTTGCTTTCCTTCCATTGTGTCTCTCTCCTGCTGGGCAGGAAGCTAATGTTCTCCCAGGAAAACAGTTTGGATGAAAAGGTTGGCTTATGCACTGTTTGTTCCTTCATGAGCTTTGCTTAATGCTCTTTTGAAGGAACTCTGTCCAGTTAAGACCTAGGCGTGTGTCTCCCTGAATGCTAGCCTGCCTTTCATTTCTTAATTGACTCTCTGGTTGATCTGAAAAGAGCATTACTGAAAAATCAGAAACATCTTTCTAATTGTTTTCTTTTCCAGGGACCTCTTGAAATGACTTATGTAGTAAACATGTGATGGGGTCAGCTGCTTATACGAGTAAGCAGAGGGAAGAGCCTAGGAGTTAGAAAGCCAGAAGCAGGGCAAGGGGCATCTGGAAGAGGATGAGGGCAGGGATTAAAATGGAAACAAAAGTCAAGAGAAAAGCTGTCTATTTTCTTGGCCTAATTAGCAAAGAGTCCTGTGACCTGTACTGTAGCCAGAACTGTCCTAAGCAAGTCCTAAGACAACTTTGTAAAAAGAATAAAAGAAGTTGAAGAAAGTTACTCTTGATCAGTTTTTCAGCTGGGAGAGCCAGTGAGTTATATATAAGAATGAGAGTTATATAACTTTCCACTTCCTGTTTATGTTAAGCAGATGTGGACATCTAAGCTGGTGAACAGAAAGTAGGGGGCTTCAAGATTTTTCATACTTTCTTTAGTATGAACTTGGAGTTTGGGCTCATGGGAGAAATTCTGGAAAATGCAAGGTGAAAGGAATTAAAGGGAACCAGAAAGTGTTTCTTACAGTATGAAGGCAGTAGGACCCCTCAGATTTGATGTATGTGGGCAGGTAGAGGGTATTCTCTTAGCCTGGGGGTGTCATTTGGCTTGAGTGAGAGGCCTCTGAGACCCTTGTCCACATAAGATCGTCTAGATCATCTGTGGAGCAAATGTGCACAGTATTTGGAAGTGACATCGATTTTACTGCTGAGAATCTTTGACCAAACATTATCTCTTCTAGAAGTTCTTTGACTTCTATAGATTATACCTTAGGTTTGACTTGATTTACCATTTTATCTCCAGAGCTCGTGGTCCATGTGGGTGATTCGATTCAGATGGGATGTGTTTTCCAGAGCACAGAAAAGAAACGCATGACCAAGGTAGACTGGATGTTCTCGTCGGAAGGGCACGCCAAGGTAACGAGGAGGAACTGTCACGGTGTAGAAGCCCCTGGCCGATGGTGGCAGGACAGTGAGGGGAGAGGGAGAATCCGGGTGTCACGTGCCGTGTGGTCGTACTGCAAGGGCTTGGGCTCTGGAGGTTGTCAGAACCGGGCTTCCTCCTAGCTCGGCCGCTTGGCTGGGCAGCTTCAGATTCCTGGTGGGAAAAATAACTCTGCTGAAGATGATGAAGAAGAAAAAGAAGAGAAAGAAGAGAAAGAGGAAGAAGAAGAGAAAGAAGAAGAAAAAGAGGAAGAAAATGTTTAATATTTACGGTTGTCAAGATGCATCTATTTGAGATAGTCCGTGTAAAGCATTTGTACATGATTTGGCCACAGCATTTTAGTTTCCTTCCTCTTCTCCCTTCTCTTTGTGGAGTTCATGGGAGTGTGTGTGTGTGTGTCTCGGGGTGGGGGGGCGTGATTTGTGTGGCTTAGCCAGGAAAGCTGTGGGCTAGAATAAGAATGTAACCATTCTTATTCCTATGTGGGTGAGTTATCTTCTGTGCCCTGTTGCCCCATTTGTGTGATGGAGGGAACTGTCTTTGTTTTCATGGATGCTTCAGATGTTGGGAGTAGGAGATCCTGGGGACCAGGGTGAGGAGTATTTCATGTGACCTCTGAAGCGGTAACAGCAAGCGAGTTCACTAGACCAGTAGATGTCAACTGTGGCATGGTGATGTACTTGTGGGTCAAGATGTGTTGTGAGGGACATCCAGGTAGCTGATTGTTAATAAAAGTTAAGGTTCAAAATTTACAAAATGTTTAATTTTTATAAATTAAGACATTTTCCAGGTCATCCCTTAAAAAATTCATTTGTACGCACTTGATTCCTATATGCTGTCTGAGTGGGTCAGAAAGGGTGGCGTTATGATGGAGAATAGGGAATTACCTCTAGCCTCAGGTGTACCTCTGGGAGCTTGAGATGCATTTAAATGTCATCCACCAAGTGAGTCGCAGCAGAAAATAGGATGGGAGTTGACATTTTGAGTTGTGAATTTGAATCACAGGAGACAGGAGGTTGGGGGCCAGGTCTTCGCATTCATCTTTGAGGTGGTATAGCCAGGCCCATTTCCTTTTCTTAAAAGCTTTTTAAAAATAATAATGGTTACATAACTTTGTAAAAAAATTCCAATACTTATTCATTTAACAAGGATTTTTTAAGCATCTCCTATGTGGTGGACCCTCAAAGCCCTTGCCCTGATGTGGGACTTACAGCCATGGTGGAGGGAGATACGTGGTAAAATAAAGAAGAAATAAATACATCATATGTCTGGTAATACTAAGAGCTATGGAGAACAGGAAGGGAGGGTTTGTGGCTGTTATTTTATATAGGTGGTCAGAGAGGCCTCATCAAAAAGGTGACATTGGAGCAGACATCTGAAGAAAGTAAGAGAGTGAACTGTGTGTATGTCTGGGGAGAAGAATGTTCCAGGCATAGGGAGCAGCAAATACAGAGGCCCTGAGGCCAGTACTCAAGGAGCAGCAAGGAAACTGGTGTGGTTGGCGTGACCCAAGTAGGTGAGGGAAGAACAAGAAGAAGATGAACTCAGAGAGGAAAAGTGGGTGGGGCAGATCACGGAGAGCCTTGTCCTTTTAGGAGAAGTGGGGGCTGTTGGAGAGGTTTAAGCAGAGCAGTAACATGATTTGACTTACATTTCTGAGGCTGGCTTTCATAGCTGGGAGTAAGCAGGGAGGCAAGGAAGGAAGCTCTTTGCAGGAAGCCAGGTGAGAGACGGGGTGGCCTGGACCAGAATGCTGACTGTGGAGGAGGTGAGAAGTCGCTAGACTTGAGATATCTTTTGAAGGTTGAGGTGATAGATTTGCTGGGGCATTTTAGATGTGAGTTGTTCAAGAAAGAGAGGAGTTAAGGATGACTCTAAGATTTTTAGCCTGAGTATCTGGAAGAAGGTGTTGCCATTTCTTCAAATGGGATGGACTGGAAGGACCTGGTTTGGGGGAAAAATTTGGAGTTTGGTTTTAGACATGTTTCAGGTGCCTATTGGAAGTCCAACTGGAAATGTCATAAAATGAAAAGGTGTACTTTTGCTTTTTTTGCTGGAGAAGTGCAAAAAGTGAAAGTCCCTCATTCCTGCTTTCCTCATCCCTCTCTTCAGATGGAAGAGTTGTCCTTTGTTTGGTGGTGTCCTTTACAATTACACGTGCCTGCACACTCGTGTGTGTACATGACCTCTGTTATCTCATACAGTCTGATAGTACCTGCACTGCCTGCACATACAGTGCCTTGTGAATCCTGGGAGCTCCCCCCCAACCTTCCCTGTGCCCGCCCCCTCCCCTCACCCCTTCCCCCTGCCCCAGTCCTTGCAATCGCATATGTTTTGCCTTTCCCTTCTAGGAGGAGATTGTGCTACGCTATCACCCCAAACTCAACCTACCTGTGCGGTACCCCCAGAACTGGAGCCGCTTCCAGAACCGTGTAAACCTGGTGGGGGACACTTCCCGCAATGATGGCTCCATCCTGCTCCAAGGAGTGAAGGAGTCTGACAGAGGAAGCTACACCTGCAGCATCCACCTGGGAAACCTGACCTTCAGGAAAACTTTTGTGCTGCACGTGGTTCAAAAAGAGCTCCGAAGTATGTAGCATTGGTTAGGGAGGGATGAGGGACCTCGTAGCTGGTAGGCATGGCCAGGACTAGGGTGGCCAGAGAGGCTCCTAGGGTGCAAACTTTAGGGAAGCATCACTCTCAGGTCCTGATCCTGTATTTGCACGACCCTGAGAGTGATGCTTCCTTAAATTTAGTACCTTAGGCACCTGGCTTGCCTCACCTAGTTCTGGCCCTACTGGTAGGTCAAGGAAAAAGGAGCTAATATTCAGTCAGCACGAGCCCTCTGCCAGACCTTACTCATTGCCAATAGAATCTACCACTTTAAAGATACAGGAGCTCAGAGATGGATTGGAATTGATGTCCAAAGTCATTTTCACTTGGCTTCAAGGGCGACACTGTATGCTCTGTAGTGGAAGGGAAAATGATCCTGAGCTGGCGAGAGAAAGCAAAGAACAGAGAGAAAACAAGAAGGGACCAGAACCAAAAATAAAGGAGTTCTCTGATCAAAGGTTCCGTATTCTGGCAAACACTGTGCATTAAGGCCAGTGGTTGCAGGAGAATAAAGACTCAATTGTGTTGACTGAGAGAGGTTGATAAGTGAGGGGTTAAAGTTAAACCATAACCCAGTTAGCAGTCAGGATGTGGCCTGTGGACTTTGCCTTTCGCTAGGGCCCTCAGGGGTTGGCTTTGGTTAATTGGGGACAGGAATGAGGTGAAGATGGAACACACCTTGATACCTCTGGCCACAGACTTAAGTCTATGGAGACACCTTATTGTTAACAGCAACCAGGCCCAGTTGGAGAGGGAAGCAGGACAGATGGATTTCTTCACTCTCAGAAGTCTTATCTCCACTTCACAGAGAAAATACAAGCCATTAGTGGGAGCTCATTCAACTTCCAAGCGCTCCCTACCCACAAACTTCTACATTTACCCCCATCCTTATCTCTGCCCTGCCGTCCTGAGCTGCCTTCCCTTCTGGGCTTATCCGAACTCCTCTAGCACGGGTGGCATTCTCTCCTTCTTCTCAGGAACCTCACAAAATGGCTCTTAAGCTCTCACTTTCCATCTGCTTCTACCTTTCAGCTTATGAACACATGCCACTCTTCTGCTTACCTTGGGTCCTTGTTTACTTTAGCTCTCCTATGTCTTTATTTTCCTTAAAACAGCTTTATTGGGATACAATTCACATACCATACAATTCACCATTTAAAGTGTACAACTCAATGGCTTTTAGTATATTCAGAGTTGTGCAACCTTCACCACAATCAATTATATATTTCTTTCTTGACATAGCCAGATAGCTTGCTAAAGGACTGTATGTGGTGCCGCTTGTCTCATCTCTGATTAATTCCTCAGTGCACCACAGTCTGGTTTCTGCCTCTACCTCTACTCTAGCTTAGATCACCAATGGCCCTCTGATTGCCTCTCCTTGGCCTTCTTTACCTCAGTAGTATTGGACACTGTATTCTCTATATATCCAATATATTCCATGTTGGACACAACTCATCTATCCATCTCTATCCATGCATCAATATATTCCACAAGTACTTCAAATACAACATATGCAAACCTACCCCTGCACACCTCTCCCCGGCCCATCTCCTCAACCTCAGTTAATGGCACCACCATCTACATAGTCATCTAACTGGATGCCTGGGAGTTGTACTTGATTCTTCCGTCTCCCATGACCCCTAATCTAAAAGGTCGACAGGTCCTGTCATTTCTGTTATTGACTTTGAATCTGCCTTCTTTCCGGTCCATCACCAGCACCTTAGTTCTGGCTGTCTTCATCTCTGTCTTGGACTGTAGGCCTCTAACCAGTCTCTATTTCATTCTCAGCCACTGCTTTCATTCTTCATGCAGCTATCAGTGCCATCTTTCTAAATCACAAATCTGAACATTCTCTTCCATTGCTTAAAATCTTTCAGCGGTTTCTTCCATTGCCTACAGAAAAAAAGCCTAACTCCTAGTTGAGATAATCGAGGTCCATCCTGTTACCTGTCCAGCCTAATTCCATACCACACCCACAAATGCAACCTTTGAGCCAGACCCGTGGAATTAATTCTAGTTTCTTAAAGCGCCATCCTGTCAGGCCTCTAGACCTTGTGCATAATGTCCCTTCCATCCTTGCCCGTATTGTCCGTCCAACCATCTTGAGGTTTCCTTTAAGACTCAGCTTAAACTTTAAAACTTTTGCTGACGAATTCTCATTGTCTGCTCCCCATGGAATTGGGTACCCTTTTCTCTCTGGCCCTCTGTACCCTATATGGACTTCTATCATAGCACCTGTAGCAGGCTATGGTTTTCTGTTTACGTGTTTGCCCCTTTCTTGAAGACAGGAACCATGTGTTATTTGTCTTTGTATCTTCCATGCTTAGTGATATCTGGCATCCAGGAGGTGTTTGATGTGTGTATTTAGAATGAATTTAGGAAATGAGTGAAGGGGCTACCATATGGGTGGAAGGGCCTCTGAAGGTCTTACTTGATGTCATGACTCTGGGGCTGAGTGTTGTAGCGTACATCCTTTTCAAAAAGATCACTTTCCCAGGGAAAGATCAGCAGCCTCTAAAATGTCTGTTATTTCTATGTCATTTGGTAAACTACATTTTAAGATAGATTGTTAATGTAAAAGTAAATTCTACTATCGGTGAGGTGCTATTCTATTCTCTTGCCCACCTTAGCAAGGGGCTCAGACTTTGGTTTTCAGTCTAATGGGGACAGCTGGCGTCTCAGTGTTTCAACATGTGGTGGAGTCTGACCTTTTCCCCCGACTTCCTGACCTGGCTGTTGCTGCGTGGTATAGAACTGGTGGGGCTGTCAGCTGTTTTCTGGAATATGGAGGCCCTCTCATTGCCTTTTCCTTTCCCAAGCATTGGTGACCCCGGAAACCCTCAGACATGAGATCCTGGGCGGTAATCACCTGGTGATCATCGTGGGGATTGTCTGCGCCACAGTCCTGCTGCTTTCTGTTCTGATATTGACCTTGAAGAAGAGGAATAAGAGGTACAGGGCTGCTCGCACCTCGTGGGTCGGGAGGCTGGAGGGGCAGAACCACCTCTAAACTGATGTAGAAGAGAGCGATAGGCCCTAATTGTGCCATTTTCACAGCAGGGGGCATTTTAAAACAGAACCATCTGTGGTTGTCACATTAGACGTCCTCTGTACAGTGACCCCGCCCCCTTTTCTCACAGTGCTCCTGAAGGGCCTTGCACATTTCACACCGTCCTCATTCGCTTTGGTATTTTACAAAGATTACCAGCGCTTTTACAAATGGTGATCTAAGTAGAGCATAATTAAAAGTATAAATCTTATGCAAGAACTGTAGTGGTGACATTTAATGCCTGAGAGGAGTGATTTTTGAATTATCTTCAATATGCGCTTCATATAGAAGCTCAGATCTTGAGGGTTGTCAGTGGCTTTCTTTGAAGGATCACATTCTAATTATGAGAGGCTATTTTTGAATGGCTGACCTTAGGTCCTAAGTTATTTATTGTTGAAGTGTGTTTTTAAAGGCTTGAATTTTATCAGTAGTTCTCCCAGTATCTCAGAAATGCCCAGGTGCTCTGACTTGGGCACTAGTGTTTCATTGCCTGTTGGCAGGTCCATGTTCCTCAGTTTACCCAACCATTGATGAAATGTGTTGGTAGGGCAAATTGACTCTTGTTGAAATGGTGTCAGTGGGAGAGGGCTCCCATTAAGAGGAATGCTGACTTTGGAGTCTCCTTTCCCTTGGCACATGGATTCTACAGAAAGTGCTTGTGCCTGCTACATTTGTGCTTCCACTCCTCAGGGGCTTCCTGACTTGGTTTTGAACTTGGTTGGCCTCTCCGAGGGTCTTTGCTCTGGGCATGCTTATAGCACTGAATCGAGAGTTAGACAACCTGGGTTCCGTATCAGCTCATTTCCCCCCTCTGGGCCTCAGTTTCCCTCAAAATGAAGAGTGGCATTTCTGTGTCTACTAGTTTATTCTTAAAAAATCAGACTGATATGCTGAGATTTGTGCATAAACATGGTCACTGTAGCCCTGGTTGTAATTAAAAATTGAAATCATCCTCAGTACCTGTTGGAAAGGTGATGATTCAATGAATCAGTATTCCATTCAATGAAATACCCCCAACCCTGTATGTAATGACATGGGAAGATGTCCCAGGAGTGGTATGATAGAATATATAGTACGATCTCATTTTTATAAAAAAGAAAATTATATAATGCTCACTTAGCAAATATACTAATATCTTTTGTGTGAGTGTACTCATGCTTGCATTGAGAGAGGTTTGGAAGGATCATTCTGCAATATTAATAGTGGTATTTGGGATAAAGGAGAGGGTGGGTCCCATGAGGGTAGGAGGTTTACTGGACCTTCAGCTTCCAATTGCCTACATTTATGTATTATTTGACTTATTTTACAGTGAGAACATACTACATTATAATCAGAAAATATGGTTAAAATATTTCCACTTTGAGACAAAAAAATATAGCTTCTTTTCTAGCTGTAACTCTAATTTTCTTTAGCACTACCTTAGGCCAAAGTAGAAAGAAAGGACGTATGTTCAGTGGCAAATGGTCAAGAGATCAAAGGCCATGGGCTGGGAAGCGGCCAGACCTCACAGCTTGGGGTGTTTGTGGGGATAATTCTGCTTGGCCTCCTCCCTGGGAGAGGCCAGGAGCCCTTTGAACTGGTGTCTGGCTGAGCTTCTGCTGCCCCCTGCTGGTTCAGCTACATCTCCTTAGTCCTTGGAAATGGTAAAATCGAATCCCATGGCCCCTCTCTATTAATTCACCCAAAATTGTTATGGGCAGAAAGTTGTTAGGGTGACAGTAGAGAAGTTGAAGCTGTTTTTCAGCCCAGACCCTCTCTAGAATGTCTTTCTGCTCTCCGTTAAAGCGGTGCACGTCTCTGATTTCGAGGGGAGCTGGGCAGCGCTGGCTGTAGAAGTCTAGCGAGACCAGCTCCTCCTCTAGGGTCTCTGTCTTCACAAAGTTCTGGGGGTCTCACGTGGGCACCCTTCAATATTCAGTGCTGGCTGGCTGATTCCACGTGCTTTTCATGCCTTGCAGTTCAGAAACCTCCACAACTGTGGTAAAAAGCCTGGAGAACGCAAAGAAGGCCCTTCCAGAGGTAAGAGAGGAACTCTGCCATTTTGCTGCTGTGCCCGATGAGGGCGAGGTGTTTACTGCTCCAGAATCAAGGTGGTGTCATTGTTCCTGTGAACTGTCTTACTCATCGTTAGGTCTTGTCATGCAGGCAGCGCCTGGCACAGAGCAGGGGCTCAGGAAATCTATCACTGAAATAAGAGCCCCAAAGGAGGGAGTAGGGCAGGGCGGGGTGGGCCAGCCCAGCATGGTCAGCACAGCCTTGTGTAGGGCCCAGGAAAGAGCACTGGACTTGGAGTCAGAAAGCCCCTGTCCAAGTGCCACTCTGCCACCTCCCTGAGCCTTAGTGATCTTATCAGTCAAATGAGGATGAGGACAAACATATTTGCCCTGTTGTAAGGTTCAAATAAAATGATATGCAAGTGCTTTGTAACCTAGGAAGCACTGTGTAAATAAATATACAGGAGAATTATGATACATTTGGGAGGGAGGCGAAGGAGTTAATGATTAAGATGAAATATTTGGGGACCTTTAGAAAGAGAGGACCAAGAACTTTTTCCTCTTTATTAGCTCGTGACGCAGCTGTAAACAATTGCTACTGGGGACTGAGAAAAGGATTCATATCCTTGAACTCCTTTCTCTTTCTTTCTTTTTTTTTAACTTTAAAAAAATCTTCTTCGAATAACTTTTAAAAATCTCCTTCGAATAGTTACCTTTCCATCTTTGGGGCTGTTTATGACCCAAGAGAAGGATTTTCTCACAGCCTGGTTCAGAAGCCCAAGAGTTTGTCACTGGGGGAATCACAACGTACCCCCAGCCTCCAGATCTGAGGTTCAGTGAGGGCTGTCCCTGCTACGTGAGCCTTCTGAAAGAGACGACAACAATTAGCTGCTCATTAATGCCATCCCGCCATGCCTCTAATTAGGAGGAAATAACCACAGAGTACAAATAATTTGGCAAGATAAGGATTCCGTGCTGCTATCTAAAGGCCCCTCCAAACAAAGATTTTGGCTTTTGAAGCAAAGAATTAGATTCTTAAGATAGTGCTCTTTGCTGATGAGTTGATTTTCTTAATTTTCGGCAACGCTGAGGACTGAATTATCATTCTTGATGATAGTTCTCTAGTTCTCCATACCGTCTGAACCTATCGGTTTTGGTGGTTGCTGCCCTGTGAGTAGTAGTGAATGGCCTTTTCTCTGGCATATAAGATTTGCTGATTTTTAGAAATGTTTGTACCACTTTTTCCCCCTTTAGAAACACATTTACACCTCAATAGCTACACGAGAGGTGATCGAGGAAGAAGAATCAAGTGGAAAATCAGAGGCCACCTACATGACCATGGTGAGAATGTTCTGGGCCCAGCTGAACCAGGTGTCTGGAGGTGGGAGAGGGAGCTGGGAGGGATATTTCAAACTCATGGGTGGTGGACATGGCTAGTCACCTGAGAGGTCACCATGCAGAGGCCCGAGATTTTTCTGAGCAGTAGGACAGTCTGAGAAGCTGAAGCTCTGCTGGATAGAAGAGTCATATTGAACTTGCCCTCATACCCAGTCTCGAGTGATAAGGCCCATTAAAGCCAGAGATGACTGACTTTAATGGTGGAAAGAGGCGCCTTCATTGGGGGTTGGCTGTCTCCCCCTCATCAGCACAACCCTGGTTGAACACAACCTAATAAAGAGGGAGCTGTAAGATCCATGGACAAGCATTGTGTTGGAAGGGATAGTTGTCCTTCCTCTCAAAAGGCCCATCCAACTCTTAGATTTTTTTGTTCTGTGACTTGTTATGCCTTGACATAATCTCACTGCCAGGGAGGCTGCATGCTGAAGTCTGCGTGATAATATGGAGTCTGATTCCTCCTTACTCTCTGCTCAACTCCCCAGGGAAGTACAGCACTTAGAAAAGGCAGCTGGCGTGTAGTGAGCAGGGGTCAGGGCAAAAGGAGTGAGCTGGCAGTGGACACGATGCTATTTGTAGACTGATGATAGGCGCCCAGGCTGTGAAGGGAGCAGTGCTCTGCTGGGTACAGGAAGGCTGGCCTCCTCTCTTCGTGCAGTGATGGCCTGTGTTTGTTCCTGCTGCACCAGCACTGACGACACATGACTCCCAGATGATTGCAGCAGAGAAAGGTTCTGCCAGGGAAGTGTGCCATCAGAGACCTGGCCTGCTTCCCCCAAGAGAAACGTTAGCTCCGCTCCCAAGTTGCAGTTGAATATGGTCAGCCTTCTCCCATTATTGCCATGTGATGCTACAGTGACTGCCAGGCCTCCTCCTGCCTCTCAGAGACCTGCTGACACAGCTGCACTGTGGCTACTGCGGAGTGTGTCACCCCTCTGGTGACGCTGTTTGCAGAAAGTCTCGGAGGAAGAGATGACATAGGAGTGAACTTTCTCCACAGCTACCTTCCCCATGTTCAGTGCTCGGGTAGAAACTCTGCAGAAAACAGCATCCCCATCCTCTATAAGACCCAATAAAGTGGATGTGATGAGAGGCCAGGGCTGCAAACTCAGAGGCCTTCAGAGGCCAGTCAATTATGTTAAAACACTGTGTGCTGAATTAAATAAGCTTGTGGGTGGATTCTGGCCTGCAGGCCGCTTGAGACCCTAGGTACAGAGATGTCATCCAATAGGAAGCAGGGGTAGCAAAGAAACTTTGAGTTTTCTACTGAATTGATTAAATTTACTGAAATTTACTGAAGGGCACCATGCCATGTCCCCTTTCTGAGGCTGCACAGCACAGCAGTTCAGATCACAAGCTTTGGAGTTGGGTCCAAATTCTAACTCTGTGATTTAGAAGTTTGATGATCTTGAGCAGGTAACTTAGCTTTTCTGAGCCTCAGTTTCCACATCCTTAAAATGAGAATAATAGTAGCATAGAGGTTGAGTTTGCACACTCCGCTTCCGCAGCCCAGGGTTCGCCGGTTCGGATCCTGGGCACTGACCTGCACACTGCTCATCAAGCCACGCTGTGGCAGCATCCCACATAGAACTAGAAGGACTTACAACTAGCATATATATAACTATGTAAGGGGCTTTGGGGAGGAAAAAAAAAAAGAGTAAGATTGGCAACAGATGTTACCTCAGGACCAATCTTCCTCACCAAAAAAAAGAGAAGGGAATAATAATACCTACCTCCCAGGGGGGGAGGATCAAACGCGATAGCACATGTGCAGTTCCGAGCTGGACCGGGTCCACAGACAGAGCTCAGTGAGTGGCAACCACTGTGATTGGAATACTTCTCACACTTGTGCTTGGTTTCTTTCTTCCCTTCGCCCGCAGCACCCAGTTTGGCCGTCTCCAAGGTCAGCACCAAGTAACCCACCTGAAAAGAAGTCAGCTGGAGAAATGCTGAAAACAGAGCAAGCTTTTTGAGAAGAAAGGCGAGTTCCCTTCATCCTTGCCAGTGGCAGACTTTCTGTGCATCCCTAGTCGCTGTACCAGTTATTGCAGACCCCTCGTCTTCCCGGTTGTCTTCCTGCCTCATTGCTCGGTCAAAGGGCTGAAGATGGAGGGTCCGGAGCCGGGCAGCAAGACTGGACAGCTCTGGAAGAACAGGCCGTGCTTGGGGGTGGGGAGCGTGGACTTGCTTCCTCTGGAGTGGGACCCTGGCCCTAGGGACCCTGGCTGAGCTGCTGCAGTGGCAAACACTCCATCGGATCAGAACCTCCAATTGCATGGTATTCTTTATGGACGAGTTACTGAGAAGAATTGCAGAAATAAAAACCAACCCAAATGATTCCTTTGGCAAGTTATCCCTAAATAAATGTGGTTTGTGTAAATCATCCTCTTTGGTTATACTCCGGCTGAGGGGCAAGTGGAGTCTTGGTAAGGAATTTACAGTCAGGAACTCGAAACAATGGAAGTTTCCGGAGGAAAGCCATACTTGACTCAACTCACTGGGGACTGGTTTGGGTCCTGGGAAAGTTTTTGGGGGAGAACAAGTTGGAAGTGGAGCATGAAAACAGCTCTAGAATTTAGCCCAGTGCTGCTTAATTTCAGCTGGGTGTCAGAATGGCTGGTGGCTCTTTGCTGGGCCTCACCAGAGGTGTCCTGGTTTGGAAGTCCTAGGTGGAACTGGGCATCTATCTTTTCAAAGATGACACTCCTGGGTTGCCAAAGTGGACAGACACTGATTTAATTCTTGATCTGAAATGTGAGGTTCCTATACTTTTTGGTTACTATTGTAAGATTTGATAAGGTTAGTCTTAAAAACCCTTTGGTCCTGAGCTCCTATTTCTAGCTTGGGCTCAGTTCATCTCTCCTCGACTACCACAGGCCTTTCTCCATTCTCTGCATCCCATTCTTCCTACTTAGCCATTCAGGGCAAGGATAAAGACAAGGTTTTCTGTGTTCTCTGATTTCTGATCCAGTCTCAAGTGGAGCTGCATTTTTGAAGGATTCCTCTAACTCTCCAAACATCGGGACCCTCTCATAACACATCCGTTATTAACTCTCTTTAACCAGCTCTTCTTGGGTCTCCACGTGGAGGTGTGTAGCCTCTTTTTGTTCTCGTTCAGCCATAGCGAAGAGTCATTAAATGCTTCCATCTCACCTTTTAGTTCTAAATAAGGAGTATGTCAGTAATTTACAATACACGTATTGAAGGCAATATCCTGTCCAAGACATGGCAGAGAGGGGACATGTAGTGACATGATAGGTAGAGGGGGGAGAAGGACTCTTTCATACCCCGAGTTCATGGAGAGGAAGGGGTTTCATTTCTGGGCTGTTAAGTAACGTGCTTTCCTGGGCTAAGAGGCCCTTTTCCACTTCCTCAGATATTGTCTGCATAGGATGATGACCTTCAGGATACAGAGTCAGGTGGATGGATAGTGATTTTACGTCTGTTGTTCTCGGTCAAAGGGAATAATTGGGATAAGAACTGGAGGATGGGCTGAACAGCTTGTCTACATGCTCCTGGAGAGGGCGCTTTGACGGTGGGAGCGTAGCCACATCCCTCCAGAGTTTGACTTGCCCAAATTTGAATTTGATTCATTCAAAGTTTGGCTTCCATCCCGGGTTCAGCAGTTGTAAAACTGAGGAGGAGGAAGAGGAAGCCCACCTCTCTCCCCCAACCCCATCTCCCCACAAACCTTCCTCTTAGACATAGGCATGGAATCAGGGTTGAGAGTGGAAGTCCACAGCTGTCAGATACTAGTTTTGCCTAAAACCAAAATAGTCCTGCGGGGGACCATGAAACAGACCTGCTTGCTCTCTCATGCCCTTCTCCTAGGGGTGGTGGTTTATTGAATCCGGGGACCCAAAGGCATATGGTATACAGAATGGGCTTCAAGGTCAAACGGGCCTGGTTCAAATCCTGACTCTGCCTCTTACTCTCTTTGATGTTGCAAAGTTTACGTCAATTCTTTGAGGCTGTTTCCCCTTTATATAAAATGGAGCCTCAGGATTTCTTTCAAGGACTAAATGAGGCCATTGAGGGGCTAGAGCCTGGTCTGAGCCCTCTATATGCTTCTGATGTGTTTTCCCCAGTTGGATTTGTCTTCTGGTGATTCAGTCCTCATTTCTGGTTAGTTTTTATTTCTATGGGCGGGAAGCCCTTTAATCCAAAATACCTAAGTCCGTCTTCCCATCCAAAGAAAAAGTTAGGAAGCTGAACTTAGGGAAGGGCTTTGCATAGCTCTGAAGGGTGACATCTGAAGGGCAGGAAAGACGCTGGAGCTGGAGCAAGCTGGATCTCCTGTAATAGATCCTTTAGCAAAGCAGTTTTGTTCCTTGAATTTGCAGTATTTTAAGTCCCTAGAACACCAGATGCACCCATATTGGGAGGTTTCCAGAAGCACGCAGGCTTTTGCCGACAGAAAGGAGCCTAAGGGTGGTGGGGGTGGCACCATCCATGCATAATGGAGAATCTAGTAGCATCAGAGTTTGCTTATTGGAACTGAAAACAGTTCAGCCTGTCCACTGGGGACCCTTAGAAGGTGTGCCTCCTCTAAAAGACTGCAGCCTTCCACCAGCCCTTTAGTCTTTTGTTCCTTGTTGCCACTCCACTCTTTTCTCCTTTTGGCTAGTCAATATTCTTACATGTCTACATTGGCACTTTTATAAAATAGTAGTTGTATGTGTGTATGGTTGGAAGGGTTTGTGCTCCCACTGAATTAGCTCAGTTCCTTAGAGCCAAAGAATCTTAGGTTGCAAGTTTTATCCCAATACAGACCAGTTATCCTCTTATTAAGAATGCACAGATTTCTCAGACTGACCTTCCGTCCTCACCAGCTGGTTTGCAACTGTGGTCTGGTCTTCCTGGAGGCAGATCAGGCAATCGCTTACCACTTCTGTAAAACCAAACCCTTGAGACATCTCTTCTTGACCAAAGAATAAGGGAACTTGGAGTTTTCTCAGAAAGCTAAGACCTTTCTTGTTTCATGGATGGTGAGAACAATGGTGACTGACCTGTCCTAGAACTGTCAAAGCTGCTGTCTGGACTCCGCATCATATGTTCATGGCCTCCTGAGTTCCGGTGCCACCTTGTCAACCCTCCACACCTCCCACTTTTTTCATGGCAGGAACCCTCTGCTCCGGATACCTTTGTCTTTCCTGCTTCTGGGCCTTTGCTCTCGGTGTTTTTCTGCCTGGAACTCCCTTTGCCTCCTTGTCTGCCAAATTAACATTCCTTCAAGGGCCTGATTCTGTCGCCCCTGGGTGATATCCTATTTCTCACATCTTCCAAGATGTCTCCCCACTTACCAGATTTTATCTTCTCATGTTCTCTAATTGTTTCATAGGTGGGAGGTTTTATTTTCTTCAGAGATCTTAGGCTCTTAGAGATCCTGCTTTAGCTCTTTTCCATGAGCTTTGCAGCCTCTGGCCCCACGTGGGACAATCCCTTGTTGAATGGAATTCCTAGGGGGTGGAGTGGAACAGAATGCAGGGGGAGGCGCTGGACGAGGCTCCCAGTCATGGTTCTACTGTGCCTTGATGGGGTAAGATCAGGCTCATGGAGTTTCTGCCCTTTCTCCAGATGTAAAACACACATTCATTCATTCTCAACTGCTCAAGGACCAGTAGAGGTTCAGTGCAAACTCAGAAGAATAAGACACAATTCTTCTCCTTAAAGAGCTACTGTCTAGTTGGCAAAGTAGGAAGTGTAAACAAAAAATGACAATACTCTCTGACTCCTGTTAACACAGAGACCCAAGCAATACCAGATGTACCTTTGTTGCCATCGTCCTGCATATGGGATTGTCCTCATTATTCTGTATTGGGAGTTTATTTGTCTCCCCATCTAGAATGTGAACTCTCAAAGAGTGAGCTGTACCTCATTCACATCTGGGTCTCTAGTTTCTAGCCTAGTGTCTGTCACGTAGGGGTCATTGAATAGGCATTTGAGTTTGTTGAATGAGGGAATTGATGAGCAAATGAGTGAATGTGCCCAGTGTCACAGGAACACAGAGAGAAGCGGTATGTAGAAGGTAAGGAGTGTGTGACTTCGTAGCAGATTTTTGAAGAAAGACTAGGAGCTTGCTGAGCAGGCAAGAGAGGAAGGGCATTCGTGGAAGAGGAAATTGCAAAGGCAAAGACACCAAGATGTGAAGCCATCTGTGGGGTAAGAGAAACCTCCCCTGGTAGGGAATGGCTTGAGAAGGGCCTGGAGCAGACAAGAGGGAGTGAAATGAATCCCTACCTTGTTATTCCTGAGCAGGATGCTGGGTACTCTGCAGATCACCTGAGGCCAGCATTTAATCCTAAACTTGTTCCTGCTTACCAGTCCCAACCTCCCAAACCTGGCTTCTCGTTGCTTCTTGCTCATGGGATGCAAACCTTTTAATATACTTGAAGGCAGCACTTCTCAAACTTTAATGTGCTCAAGAATCACCTGGAGATCTTGTTAAAAATGCAGATTCTGGTTCCCTGGGTCTGAAGTGGGGCCTGTAACTCTGCATTTCTAAGGAGCTCCCAGGTGATACTAATGATGCTGGTCCGGGGACCACACATTGAGAAGTGAGGCTCTAAGGTGAATGTAACTAGGGAGGCTCTCTGCAGCCTCAACTAGGCATTCCAAAGGCAAAAGGAAACTACCTTCCTTTAAATTATTGTAACACTGCTTTTCCCAGTGGGGTAAGTAATTGTGTGTTGTCTAATAAAATCTTCAGAGGTAAATGGCACGGGGGAGAAATGCCGAAAATAGGGCTTGATTCCCCAAGTGGCCCATCTTTGATACTGGTGTCTTCCTTCTGCAAAATACCTCTTGGAGTTTCTGCTTTCCAGGCTCCTACGGAAGACCTACTCTTTTGGAGCAAATGAGCCTCTGGAGGCCCATGTGAGCCGTGGGGAGGATCTGGGGTGGCCCTTCTTCCTCACTCTACTGGGGTAACTCTCCCCTGACCCGGTGCCTTCTGAGCTTTGCTTCCCGACGGCTGAGTTGGACAGAGACTATTCTAGGTCACACCTGGTTTTTTCCACTAAATTCTTTATAGAAGCAGAGGAACTTCTGGATCCATTTCTTGCCTCAGATGTCTCTAAAATAGAAGAGTCTGGACCCAGTGCGAGACCAAGTGAGCTGGGTTAGCAGCTTCCCTGGGCCTCACAGGCACCCTCCGCTGCATTAAAGAAAAAGGAGGTGGCCGGCTACGTCAAACCAAAACTCTCTGGCTGACATGTGCCTGCGGCAGCCTAGGTGGCCATGCCGCAGACTGGGACCTGCCCGAGGGGCTGGAAGGGAGCCCCAGCTCACACCAGTCTATCCGTCTGGGTACACCTGCAAACCAGGCCACTGCTGATGGTGGAGGAGGCCTGGGCCTGAGGGCAATGGGGATGGAGGCTGGCCGTGGACCCCAGGGGACACTTTCCCCCTCAGGCTGCCCCTCCTCTGCTTTCCTGATGTTCCTTTCAATGGGCTGAGTGCTCTGTTGATGAGCCAGCCGCAGCCAGACCCTAGTGAAGAGGCACGTGGGGGACAGTCTGTGCAAGATGTGGGCATGGACAACACCTCTGGTGTGGTGGAGAACCCAGAGGTCTCCTCTCCACCCCTCTGCCTTCAGCAACTGCCACCCGGACGTGGACCACTTCACTCCTCCCCAGCCTACAACAGCTTCAGCAGCCTTGGCTAGAGTTCACTGCCTTCGCTGTGATGTCTGCTTTCCCCCATCCCCTCTCCAAATTCATTCATCGTCCTGGGGTGTCCCTGGGCAGTTATGCATGCCTGTTTATTCAGTGTCTGCTCTGAGCCAAGCCCTGTACTGGCCTCCCATTTTGTCCCTCCACACCCTGCACCTTCGCACCATCTTTTACATCCCAAGCAGAGGCCCCTTGCTTCGTCTATCGCAGTCTTCTCTTCCCTCTGTCTCTAAACAACCTGAAGGCAGGTCCCCTGTCTCCTCCCCATGGTGACAGGCCATGTGGAAGACAGAGATAGCCAGTGTTTCACACAGGCCTCCATTTGAATCCTGGCTCCGACTCTGCCCTTAAGAAATGTCGACTGAGGAAAAAAATCACTACAATTCAAACAGCAGATTTTTATTTGTGCAATTAGAATTGCAACACAGGAGACACAGATTCAGGTAGAAACCCAAAATATGTTCTGCTAGGGAGTAAAACTCAGGGGCTTTCAAAGGCAAAGAAGGGAGGTTCTATTACAAAGAATTTTAATTGGATTTGGAGGCGGAGAGCTAGTCTTGGCCAGGCTTTGATGGACTATCGATTCTGTCGTCAGAAGGTCCACAGTCCTCAGTCTTTGTGTCAGGGCGTCCGTACTCCTGCTGACTTCTCAGACAATTGCTTGTAAAACAATCTCAGGGTTACAATTAAGTTCAGATCTCACATGGCACAGAGCTAATGCTCAGAAACATTCGTTGCTCCTTCTTGGGAGCATCAATGGCCCATTGTTGCCTGAGAACCTGTTTTCTACCTCATTGTCTCCCCAGAAGAGTGGGGGTCACCTTCTCTGTTTAGGGCCACGTTGGTGCTCACCTCCAAGCTCTCCTACTTGTGATATTAGCCTATTTTTCTTCCTTTTTTAAAAGAAAAATTTTCAAACATACAAAGCAGAAGAGAGAACTGCATAAAGAACCCTCTGCACCCGTCACCAGTTTCAGCAATCAACCACAATGTCCCGTCTTGTTCCTCGACCTCCCTCACCTCCTTTTTTTTTTTCCTGGAATATTTTAAAGCAAATTTCAGTCCTCATATCGTTTTACCTACAAACACTCCAGTGCGTATAACAGATAAAGATCTTAAAGAACATAACCCCAATATTTTTTATCATATCCAACAGAACTAAGAATTACTCATTAGTATAATCTAATACCCAGTCCATATTTATTTTTTCCCAATTGTCTCAAAAATGTCTTTTTACTGATGATTTGACTGAATCAACATTGCCCAGAGGTTCACGTTACATTTGATTGTAAGACTTCTCACCCCAGCCTGCTTTGACACGCTCGGTTTTCAGTGACAGTGCTAGAAAAATGAGGAAGTCCTTACTTCCTGAACGTGTCACCAACTCACTTCCCTGAGCCTTTCCAAATAACATAAAAAGAAGCATCTCCTTTTCTGGGCGTTTTTAAATGACAAAAAGAGTTCCCCCCTTAACAGCAGTTCTGAAATAAACGGGTTCCTCTAACAGCTTTCAAAACCCAATAATCACCCAAGGGAAGACGGAAAGGCAGGATTTGCTCCAGTTCTTGTTCAGAGGGTAAAAATTTCTGGGGAACTTTGTTCCTTTCAGAAAGACTTTTTTATGCCCTCCCACCTGCTTTTCGAAATCCACCAACCACAAAATTTACTCCATCCCCCTTTTTTTCTCTCTCCGTTACACACTCCCTCTCTCTTTTTAGCAGCAACATACAAGCCGGCCATATTAGAGAGATGGAAATAAAGCTTCCTTAATGTTGTATGTGTCTTTGAAGTACATCCGTGCATTTTTTTTTAGCATCTAACCATTCCTCCCTTGTAGCCCTCGGCCCCTCAAATCGCCCTCTCCCACATCCCACCCGACTAGCATCTCCCTCTCTGAAAATGCACAGAGATGCCTGGCTACCTCGCCCTGCCTTCAGTCTCACGGGGCTCAGTCTCTTTTTCTCTTTGGGTAAGTTAGACTGCACATCTGCATGCTCCTGAGGGTCCAGAAGTCCAGCCGCCACTGGAAGAGGATGGGGGCAGGGGGCAGCAAAGAAGACAGGGCTCGAGCTTCCTTTCGGTGTCCTTGGGGAGGGAAGTGCTGGGGACTTGGAGAGACCTTGCTGGGGACTGCATAACGCTGGGACCACTTGGTCACAGAAATGTTGGGTCAGGGGATCTGAGTGTTCCTTGGGGGTGACAATTGTCAAGGGAGGTGATTTTTTTCTTGGGATTTCCCTGAAATGGCCTATGTGGGGGTGGGGGCAGACGGTAGACGGATCTGCAGTTTCTCCATGGATTTTTTTTTTTAGGGGTCCTGGGACTTAATGCTCCCCGAAGGGGCTTCTTTTGTGCACCTTGACCTTTGGAATCTGGTGGATTTAGGATATTAGGAAAGAGTGCGTGGGGGAGTCGAGGGCAGAAAGTTGAGTCTGGGTCTGGCTTGCCGGAAATCTGCACTACAGATTTGTTGAAAAGTGTGGGAGAGTAGGTGGGAAGCAGGCTGGAGAAATGATCTCTGGATGGGGAGGAGACCTGCTGAAGCAGGCAGCGATGGAGAAGGCGCTCTGGCTTGGCCAGATGGAGTGGAGGAGGGGTTAGGTGAAGGGATCAGAAAAAGAAGAAGAAGAAAAAAAATAGGAACCCACGCACTGAGTGTGGCCGTGGCCCGTTAAGACCATGTCTCAGAACTGTCCAGCCCAGCCTTGCAGACTGCCCAGTCAAGTGATCCAACTGTTGATTTCATATTTGATCACTCATGGACCTCCTGGCGGGTGGGTGGGCTAGAGGGTTATTTGCAAGCCTGCTTTATAGGTAGTGTCCTTCTTGCTCCTAAACTTACTCATTGCTGGTGTAGCAATTGAGGGTCCAGTCCAAGGACTGTCAGTGGGAATATTCCCCATCACAGAGTTTCTTTCTCTCGCTCTGGCATGCTGTGCTGGATATTGGGCAAGAGGCCAAATAGAGACAGTGCAGAGCCCTTGGCAGCCTGCATAAGGCCTGTTAGCTTTTCTGAGTTATTGGACATAGTAACAACAGAGCAGGAATGTGATGGAAGCCCAGGCAGTGGAAAGAGCATGAGCCTTGGAGTCAGAACTGGGTTTAAAGCCAGCTTTGGCATTTAGCTCATGGGCATAGACGCGACTCCTCTGAGCTTCAGTTCTTTCCCAGGTGAACTGGAGAAAACCTACTGCCTGGGTTTTTTGTGTCTGGCACGTAGCGGGTGCTCAATTGTAGCTGACTTTTATGGCTTTTCACGTGCCCCAGCGCTGTGTGTCTTGTTTAATCCTCACAGTAATAGGTAATTGTATGAAGCAGATACTGTTATTATCCTCATGTTACAGATGAGGAAACAGGCACAGAGAAGTTAAGCAACTTGCCCAATAAGGTCACACGACTGGTTTCAGGTGAGCTGAGATTTGAACCTGTTTGTCTGACTTCAGCATGTACTTAACCATCGAACTCTGCTGCCCCCAATGTTCAAGAAATGGTGCTGCTATATTAACAATAACTGATCTAAGAATCTCAAGTGCTGGCAAAAAGAGGGGGAGCTGGGTGAATGACCTGTGTGTGAGGAGCCGGCGATGGAGGACAGGTGACCTCCTTTGGGAGTTCGGGAGAGCTTCCTGTGGGAGGGAGGCAGCCCTGTGAGAGCCTTTTCTAAGTGGAGAAAGGAAGGGGGCTCCGTGACCAGGACCAGGGTGTGGCTTAGGGGAAGGTGGAGTCTGGGGTGAAGAGGTCAGGGCATGAGGGCTGTGAGGTGGTGGTGGGAGGAAGCTAAAGCCTCTGCAAACCCGGGTGGGAGGAGGATGCAGGAATGGGGACGTTGACCTTGAACTTGAATTTGATTGGTGCTGTGATGAGGCAGCCCTGGCACTCTAAGGCAGAGGGCTCAGGGGGACAATGGAACTTTGGTGGTGGTAGTAGCATCAGTCCCCAAGATGGAGGGATGCCACAAGTGATGAGGGAGGGGACTGTGCCAGGGGCTGGGTTTGTGAGGATGACTATAGAGCTGACAAAGGGAAAGGGGACAAGCTGGGCAACCTACCGCACACATGACAGAAGCACGTGAGACTAGTTTTTCGCTAGAAATAATCCAAATCATTGGGCTTCCTTAGAATTTGTCTCAAGAGCATTGGCCCTGCGCTCACTGGCCTGGTTACCAAAGTCTGGGCTATGTTAGGGGAGGCCTAGAAAGTGGAGTCTGGTCCTCACTGGAGCCCACTGCGCAGATCTGCTGCTGGGGGCAGGAACCCAGACCCAGAGTGGAAAATGCCTTCCCTTTCTTCTACAGACTTTTACTGAGTGCCCACTGGGTGTCATAAACTGTCCTGGGTCCAGGGGTACCAACATGAATAAGAATCATGTTCCCCCAGGATCCCGAGAGACACAGGCACATAAACAAGTAATAACAATGCAGCATCGGATGTGCTGTGATAACAATAACAGTAATGATGCCAATAACAGCAGCTAACCTTTGTCGAGGGCTGACTGTGTGCCAGGCACTGCTGTGAGCTTTGTACATTCGTAAGTTGTTTAACCCTCACAGCAGCCCTAGGAGGTAGCTCCTATTACTGTCTCTCATTTTACAGATGAGGAAACTGAGGTGCTGGGAAGTTAACTATCTTGCCTAAGATCAGACCAGGCTAGAGCCCTGGTCTTGGCCACTATGCCATTCTGCCTCTCGGTCATGAGGAAACAGTGGGAACAGGGCTGCCACTGGGGAAGCTGTCTTGGAGGCGAAGCCTCATTAGCTGGCATCTGCAGGAGAAGTAGGCAGGCTCCAGGTGCAGAAGGATGAGCGAGCTTCCCGAGCTGAAGCACAAACACGTGCAGAGTCGTGGAGGCGTGAAAGAAGGTGGTGTTGTCAGGAAGAGTAAGAACTCTGGGGTCACTGGAGGGGAGGAAGCTGGCAGGAGATGAGGCCAGGATGGAGGTTGGTCCCAGATGGCTAAGGGCTCAGAAGCCGTGCCCAGGAGCCTGGACTTGATCCTGAAAGCAACAGGGAGGGATCAGTCGGGGTTTGGGGGCGAGAGACTACGAGGACAGGTTGCTCTCACGGCTGCATGGGAGTGGCCTGGGCTGGGAGGCAAGACTCGGGTGGGGGCGGGTCTGAAGGGTAAGGCAGCTCAGGAGACGGGCTGGGTGTCACACCCAGCTGGGAGGCAGAGGGTGCCCCAGGGGCAATGTGCTCCAGAAGGTCGGGGAGAAAATTCCTCTGCTTAGACACTCTCTGTCTCTTTTTTTAAGCAAGAAGGAAATAAACCTACCTCTTAGAGTGCTGTAGGGTTGGAAAGAAGTGTGAAGAGAACTAACTTCCAGCCTCTGCAGGAGACAAACAAAGTTTTGTGATCTCTGCAAGATGGGCCAGGTAGAACAGTGGGTGACGTGGGGCCTGCGGGGCCAGGTGTGCCTTGGAGAAGGTGGGGGGCCAGCCCTGGTGATGTTTTGGAACTAAGATCAAAAGCCACATCCTTACTGCACCCCTGTGACTGCCATTTACTTTCTGTGAGCTGGAAATCAGGAGACCCAGACCCTAGACCTGGTCCCAAATGGGACAACCAGGAAGACTGTGGGCTCCTGTGACGTGTGAGCTTCCTTTAAAGGGGACTGTTCCCCTCTGGCCAGCCTGCCTAAGGCTGGGGGCTGGCAGTTATGGGGCTGGACCTGCCATGTAGACAGCAGGAGGCCTGGTCCCTGCAACGCCTTCAGACAACAATCACAACCCCACCCAACCTCGACGCCCCCACCCTCTGTCTGAAGCCTGGCAGCCTGGGTTCAAATCTGGGTTTGTCACTTACTAGCTGTGAACTTGGGCTATTCGTTTAACTGCCTTGTGCTCAATTTCCTCACCTGGAAAGTGGGGTGATAAGAGGGTTGTTGTGAGTATTAATATCTGTAGAGTGTGTAAACGGCGCCTGGCTCGCAGACTTGGTTGTTGTTGTGAAGTCCTTTCTGTGGCCCTCGCTGTGGATTCGCTTCTTTCCTGAAGCAGCAGAGTTCATCAAGGGACCAGGATTTTGCTCACTGCTCTGACCCCGTCGCCTGACAGTTTTGTCGTCTTTAATGAGGGCCTGGATTGGTGAAAGGCCTGAGGCCGTTGCCTTGAGCCTGGGATCCTCAGGCTGCAGGGGGCGCCCTGGACTCGGAGTCAGGAACCGTGGCTCTGCCCCAGCCTGTCCCTATCCTCTGTCTCTCTCAGGGCCTCACTTCCCCCATTGGTAAGACATGGGGCTAGATCTACAATTCCTGAAGGTCCCCCTTTTGGCTTCCTCGAATTTGGTGACCCCCTGTTCCTCACTGTGCAGTTGGGGCTTGACGTTTGACCTCGCTGACCACTAGAGGGCACACGTGTTCCTCCTGGTGCCTCCTGCAGGACTCGCTGTAGGGATGGGGGGGAGGCACCCCACCTTGCAGCTGTCTATGGGTCCCCCCTCCTGCCAGCCAGAAAAGACCTCTCACTCCTCATGGCTCTGCCCTCCCTCATGGCAGGGTGCTGGCTCCCTCAGGATGGAGGGAGCTGCCTGGTGGGGTTCAAGTTCTAACCGGAGTGGGCTGGGGTGGGACAGAGGCCAAAGACGGGTCAGCTAGATTCACAGCATCTACTTCCTGGTGTCTCTCCCGGTGGATGCTCCTTTTGGCTGGGGGCCCCAGGAAGGTGGCAGACCCTTCCAAGGCAAGTGACTAGAGGAGCAGGGTGTTCCTGGGATATGAGGTAAGCTCAGGACAGGGCCCTGCCAGGCTCCTTCCCTGCAGATTTCTCTGCCTCTGCAGAGTGGGGGCGGTGATGGCATTTGCTGAACACCTCCTCCTTGCCTGGCGCTGTGCTGTGAAAGTGAGGAGATGGGAACTGGGCTTTGTTCTTCTTGGTGGGCCCACTCAGCCTCCCCAGTTTGTACTCCCCTAACTGCAGAGCACACCTGGAAGCCCTGGCCTTGCAGGTGGGGCCGCACGCCTATCCCTCCATCTAGGGCTCAGTCGTGACCTCTGGGGCCAGCAGTTGAGAGCATCTCTTGTTCTCTCTCTCAAAGCCTGCCTACTGGCCCTGGCCACTCAACCCAAGGGATGGACTGAGCAGAAGAACACTGGGGCAGGCTTTGATATATTCCTGCTTCCAGGCTGCAGTGTGGCTGCTTCTGGGATGGGGCCCAGCAGCTTTGCAGAGCAAAACAATTTCAAAAATAAGAGGCTTGCAGGGGAGCCTCCCAGGCTGCCCCCGCAAGGCCTGGGCTCTTTGTCAGATCTGGGGGAACTCCAAGGGGCTGCCTGAGGGGTCAGGCTCCAAGGTGCCCGCTCTGGGAGACTGACCCGGAAGCCCTTGCTGTTTAGGGGGCAGAACTTGAGGAGGATTTAGGATCCTAAGAGCCACCATTTGCTGAACACTTACTGGCAGGCAGACTGCACACTGTGCTTTATGTATTTTCTCTTATTTAATTATCACAACCCTGGAGGTGGGTGCCATCTCTGCATCTTACAGAGGATCGGACTGAGGCTTAGGTGGTAAAGGAGCTGGCCCACGCACGTTCTCCCAGCTGGGCTGAGGCAGAGCTGGGCTTGAACCCATGGCTAACCGGATCTCCTGGTCTATGCTGTTTCCCTGTCAACAGCCACAGCTCTCACCTGGACAGCCTGCTAGCTGCCCTCTGCCCCTAGTCCCTTAGTGGCTTCCTATCTCTGGAGAATAAAATCCTGGCTCCATGTTCTGGCCCACTAGGCCTCTGCTGACCGGTCCCTGCCTAACTCTTGGGCCTCAGGTCTCCCCATTTGTCCCCCTGAGCACTCTGCTCCTCGTGCCTCAGATACATGAAGCTCATTCCATCCACTTGGGACTTTGTTCTTGATGTTCCCATTGCCTTGGAACTTGATCGCCTCAAGACTTCCAGTGGCTCGCTCCCTCACCTAACTCAGGGGCCACCTAAATGTCACTCCTCAGAGCAGTCTCCCTGACTGCCAGAGATAAAACAACACCCCCTTACTTTGTTTTGTATCTTACAGCCCTGGCCATGTATTACTGCCTAAAGTTACATTACTATTTTTTTCCTTGTTAATGTCTGTCCCCTCCCTAGAACACAAGCTCCATGTTGCAGCGACCCTGCCTGTCTCGTTCACTGTAATTTCCCCCAAGACCTGGACTAAGCACCTGGGGCATAGTAGGCGATCTATAAATATTTGGTAAATGAGCAAATGAATAATTGATGCTGAACATTACTGTGTATCTTCTATAAAGAAAATTAATCTTTTGGGATGAGGTTTTGACGATACTGGCAGAGAATTTTCTAATTAAGGCCAGGACTAGGGTGAGGCAAGTGAGCTGCTTAGGGTGCAAAATTTAGGGAGGTATTTGTATGACCCTGAGCGTGGGCGTCCCCTTAAATTTTGCATTTAAGGTGGCTTTCTGCCCCATGGGGCACTGCTGCTTCAGCTGGAAGTGCTTTGGCTCAGCAGAGATGGTTGGAAGCGATGGGGAAGAAAGAGGAAACTGAGGCCAGCAAACTGAAGCTCCTTGTCCGAGGTCTTCAGCCAGCAGGCGGCAGCTGCGGGACTGGGGTGGGATGGCCAGGTGGAGGACTGCACAACAATGGTCCTGGGAAAGGCTTAGATCATTTGTCTGTCCTCAGCTGGACAGATGGTCTGGTCTCTCTTCACCCCAGCCTTGCTCTGCAGCCCATTTTACCCCAAGGGCCACATCAGGTACCCTTTATGAGTTTTACCCACCCCACTCCGTGACTAATTTCAGCCGTAAGGGTGCCAGCCTGCTGCCATAGCTCTGCTCCACTCCCCACCAGGTGCAGAAGGCTTGTCCCCTCCCTGGCCCTGTCATCCAGAATCCTCACCAGCTTGTGGCTTTATCCGCAGTGCCACCAGGGCGGAGCATGGAAGTCACCGTACCTACCACCCTCAACGTCCTCAATGGCACTAATGCCCGCCTGCCCTGCACCTTCAACTCCTGCTACACAGTGAACCACAAACAATTCTCCCTGAACTGGACTTACCAGGGCTGCAGTAACTGCTCCGAGGAGATGGTGAGTCCTGGGATGCAGATGGGGGTGAAGCAGGAGGTGGGAGCCCCGCAGCGTGAAGCCCACCTTTCCCAGCACCTGCCCTTGTATGGGACCAAGAACGCAGAGTACCCTGGGGGGCCGTCTGCTCCAGAGGGCTTTGGCAGAAGGTGGGTGGCCCTGGGGAGGCTGGTGGAGATCTGGAGGTGACTGCCTCTCTTCCCGGTCAAACGGTGCATGGGAGAAAGGTACCCGCTCTCCTTGCAGCTCCTTGCTCATCCAGCCCCTCATCCTGTCCTTTGTCCACCCCCAGTTCCTCCAGTTCCGCATGAAGATCATTAACTTGAAGCTGGAGCGGTTCGGGGACCGTGTGGAATTCTCGGGGAACCCCAGCAAGTATGATGCATCAGTGACACTGAAAAACGTGCATCTGGAGGATCAGGGCATCTACAACTGCTACATCATGAACCCGCCCGACCGCCACCGTGGCCACGGCAAGATTTCCCTGCAGGTCCTCATGGAAGGTGAGGGGCGGGCGGGCAGAGTGGGGAGCTGCTGAGGGGACCGCTCACCGTTCCCACACAACTGCTCTCTAGCAGTATTAGCTCAGAGCTCCTTTGAAGAGGCTGTGCCCTCCTGAGGGGTGGGAGGGCACACCTTGTGCTTGGTGCAAGTCATCCGTTTATGCCCTCCAGTCCTTGAGGACCTGGGAACACGTTTCAGAGAATCCTTATGCTGCTGTCAGATAATCATGATCACAATCTTAAGAACCAAAATAGCAGCTTTCATTTACTGGGCACTTACTATGTCTCAGCTATAGGGGTAAACTCTGTATGTGCATTATCTCATTTCATCCTCATAAACCCCTAGGAGGGAGGTACTCTTATTATCCCCATTTTACAGGCGAGGAACCTGAGGCTTAGAGAGGATAAGTGAGTCACGTAAGGCCACACGAGTAATAAACAGTACAAGCAGGACTCAAATTTGCGTCTGTTTGATCTCAAAGTCCATGCTCTTAAATATTGCATTATGCTGCCCTCCCCTGGGGCTTTTAGATGCCCTGTGATTTTGGGGTGGGGGGCTTAGAGGTCATTGGCCTGGGTTGATTTTTGGCTTTGACTAAACCCTTTCCACGGAGGAGAGTACAGTCAGGAGCACCCCCAACACACTGCGGGAGCCGGGGGATAGTGGAGGGGCTCCCTTTTCCAGCCCAGTGCTCAGTGGGTCTGTTTCTTTTCGTTCTCCAGAGCCCCCTGAGCGGGATTCCACGGTGGCAGTGATTGTGGGTGCCTCTGTGGGGGGCTTCCTGGCTGTGGTCATCTTGGTGCTGATGGTCGTGAAGTGCGTGAGGAGGAAAAAAGAGCAGAAACTGAGCACGGATGACCTGAAGACAGAGGAGGAGGGCAAGACAGACGGAGAGGGCAACGCGGACGATGGCACCAAGTAATGGGCGGCCCGCCCTGCAGCCCCTCCCTCGTGTCCCGTCTTCCTCTCACTCCGCCCTGCACAGTGTGCCCCCCACCTGTCCGCTCTTGGTGTGCTTGAACTGGGACCCCAGGACCTATCTGGGGCCTCCTGAACCCCTCACTTCGTATCCCCCACCCTGCACCAAGAGTGACCCACCTCTCTTTCATTCGAGAAAGCTGCCATGGCGTCGGGGATGTGTGGGCCCTGGGGGGGGGCGGGAGAAGTGGGCTGAAAACTGCCTGTCCCTGAGAGGAGGCAGGAGGCATGTGTGAGGGGCCCAGAGAGAAGGAGGAGGGCGGGCGGTGATAGAGGAGGAGGTCAACCGTCCAGCCTGCCCAGCACGTGGGCTTGTCTGGTGGCAGCTTCAGAGAGGAGCTGCGGGTGGGGGAAGGGTTTTCCTGTGCTGCCTGAAGGAGCCTGGGGTGGGGCATTGCTCCCAGCCCAGGGCAGCCCTCTTGGGCTGGGGGTGGGGATGGGCTCCTAGAGCCTGGGTGGGGGGCATGTTGGAGGGACGACTGGGCATTTCCTGGGTGTTGAAGGAAAGCTGGGGCTGGAGGCAAATGGAGACAAGCCCTGGCCCAGGAGCTCTGCTCTCACCCTCTTCTCCACTGACAGCAGCTCCCACAGAAGCCTCATGGTTTTCTGTTGGCTGCTAACCCCCTGGGGTTTTCGGCGAGAGCTGTGCTGAAGAGCCATTGAGCTGGGCCATGGGTGGGTCCTGTCGTTTTGGGCAGTGGTCATTTTCCACCACAGTTACCCACCAACAGGAGACGAATTTCAATGAGCCGAGGGCCTGAGGGGGTGGGGCTCCATTGTAAAGTGGAGTTTGCTGCAGACTGCCTCCTCCAACAGGATGACCACCCTCATGGCCAGGAGCAGCCAAGGTGCAGAGATGGGACGGGGGTGGCAGCCGCGGCAGAGGCGTCCTTGTGCAGAGTGGGCTTCCGCTCAGACTTTCCCAGTCACCCTCAGAGGGGCTTCCATCTGGCTTTTGGCTAGAGACCAGGGCAGGGAGTGCTTCTGAGGGAAGGGGAGGGGAGGTCCTGTGGCCATGTTACATCTGGCGCCATGTTACACCCTCCCGTGCTCCAACAACTCCCTCCATGGGGGACAAAGTAGCATTTGTGGGGAGGCAACTTTCACTGCCATTTTACTCACATTAAGAGGGAACTGGTTAAGCCTGAGGAGAGGGAGAGAGACAGAGAAACTGCTGACATGGAGAACACTACCTTGGAAGACCCTAAAGATCAACTAGCCAAGTCACTCATACTACAGATGGGGAAACTGCGGTTCAAACTGACAGAAACTGAGGGTCCTGTCATCCTCTGGTGCCTCAGTCTCCAGTTTGAATCAACAGAGCCATAGTTTTCCCAGTGGGAGGGGTCTCTGCGGACGGGTAGTTGAGGGAGGTGAGGTGAGGAAAGTGGACTCAGGCAGCCCTGCTCATCTCCCTGGAGCCCCGCCCCTCCAGGCTGTGACCGAGGCAGGGATGGAGCAACAGGGAGTAAGAGGGCAGAGTCACTGGCAATGCTCCATACCCGCCTAGGCTGACCCTCCTCGGCACTTCCCAGCCTCTCCAGGAGCTCAGCCCCTGCCCCGGCTCAGGGAGTCAGTGTGTGGCAGGCACCAGTCTGGGGTGAGGGGGTGGAGACAGGACTGTGACAGTCTCAGGGACTCTTCTCTGCCTCTGCCCATCAGATGGCCAATTTGAGGTGAAAGCAATAGCATATGGGATATTCAGTTTAATTCGCTTCAATTCAACAACCATTTATTGAGCATCCGCTACGTGCCAGGCACTGTGCTGGGTGCCTGGGACACACACAAAGCCATAATAGAGTTGGGGGCTGCCAGGTCAGCACTGTGGGGACCAAGATTAATTTTTTTGGTGCATCTAATTCCACCTCTGCAGTCACTGCTTCCAGGGCTGGAGTTGGGGAAGAAGGAAGAGATTTCAGAGTCTGGGCCCCGGGAAGGGAGGAAAGCAGGGAGATGCAACAGGGAAGAAGTGACAGGCCAAGTGGAGTGGGCATAGAGTGGGGGATGGGCAACCAGCCAGCTAACGCCAGGTGGGGTGGGTCCAGCCCATCTGGAAATTCTCTCATCGGCTCAGTACCTAACTGCCAATCAATACACTGCCAATGGGGGTGGGCTAAGCCCCAGGATGCCTGGGGCAGGTGGACACTGCCCATCCTTCGAGCCAACCAGCTGAGTAGGGGGAGGTGGGTGGTGGGCACCTCATGCCAGCTGAGACCAGGGTTGTCGTAATACACTTTTGCAGCTTGCAGGTTTCACTTTTTGGCAACCTCTTAAGTACCCTCCTCTCCTGGATGAGTGAGGATCTGTGCTGATGCTGGGAACTTTTCTTTATCCAGGACTCACAACATTTAGGGGAATTATTTGCAAGATTCCCTAGGTTTATTCTAACAAATCCTAACTTTCCATAAAGAAGCCCAAGACTTCCAGATTCCTTTCTTTCCCTGCCCTGACCTAGTGGGGCATCTCGAGAGCAGCACCTCTCCCTGGGCCTCAGTGGCCCGAGCAGATGCAGACAGGCCAATAAACACCTTTGCCCCAGGTGCCCACCCTCATCTGCACTTACTTCTCGAGCTTCTTAGAATCTCCTCCAGAGGCCTCCTCCAGGGCAGTGTGGCTGAGAACAAAACGGGGCTTCTACAAGTAGAGGTGGGAAACCCGTGACATGTTTCCCCGGCAGCCATTTCTCTACCCTGCTCTCTCGTCGATACCAGCAAGCTGTTCTGCTTCCTGCGCTCTGGGGTTCAGGCCCCACTCTGGCTGCATGTCCCCATCACTGTGCTCTGCTGGGTTCAGTCTGCTGGTTTTCTTAACCGCCCCTGCCTTGCCTGTTCTCTTGGACGCCCCCATCTGTCTCTTCCTCCTCATTAAGGGCCACTATAAGGAAATATGGACTGGCCAACCCATGGGATTTAGCTTATAAGAACAAAGCACAATTTTTCAGGACTGAAATGCCTTGAGGTGCCTTGGAGCTGGCTTTGAAAATAGCTATCTTCCCCCCAGCTATGGACTAATCACAATTATTCCCAGTTATAAAAGGGAAAAGCTGATTGGATCCATATTTCTCCCTGGGAGTCTCCTTGGGGAGGATGGCCTGGTAAATATTTACAAAGTCAGGTTGAGCAGATGGACAATTGAAAATACTGGCCAGGTCCAAAAGGATAGTCCCAGGCCGTGGGCACGGCTTGGTGCAGGTGGAACGGGTGATGATTCAAGAAATTTTCCTTCCTACTTATGTCTTAAGGATAGACAGCCTGTGTCTCTCGCTGTGCCTCTTGCTGATGTCTTCCTTTATTGAAGCTTGCTGATGCATTTGTACATAATCTATATATAGGTATAGATATATTATATATACAAATATAAAACATCTCACTACACCCACCCCAAAACTTACATTGTGGGCGGGGGGACAATCATTTCTCAATGTTTTGAGTTGATTCACCAAAGGCAAATTATGGAATGTTCTTATTGCTCTTCGTGCACTTGGATGGAAAATCTAACTACTTATGCACTTTCTAGGTGTGATGTGCTGTGTGGTGGTTGGAAGAGGTGATGGGGAGAGAAACTTAAAGGGTCCTCTGTGACCCGCCTGCTGTGATGCGTCTGCTTTTTGGAGTGGACTGACTTTCTTTTGTAGTTTGTCTTATTGCTTGGATCTATTGGCTACAATAAACAGATCATCTCCTCTGAACATCCTTCCAGTGTGGCTTTTTTTTAGGGGTGCAGAGTGGGGTAAGTTGGGGCTTTGCCAGGATCCTGACAGGGGCCCCCGATGCTGCTTTCCTGGCAATCCCATTGGCACTGCCACATCCCATCAAGGATGGGGTCATTCTAGTCCACTCTTGTTGACACGTTTCATCTCTTTTCCCCTTTGCCTACAGAATCTTGGGGGCCTCTATCCACCTCAGAAGCACCCTGGGGACAGGATGGCTAGACACCCACTTCTTGGAGGGCTCTTTGTTATTTCCAGGATGATGACAACCTTTTAAGCCCTCAAGGCCAACTGTTATGCTGATGTTGCCTTTTCTTTCTGTGAATGGAGGGGCCATCCTTCCTGTCCCTGTTTCTAAGCACTGTCTGACTAGGCAGACGTCTTGAATGACAGCTGGTCAGAGTCTGCCCTCGTGCAACTTCGTGGACAGGGTGGCTGGGGGAAGAGTCAGGTTGCTCCTGTCCCATCTGCGTCCTGCTGTATCCCATTTGCGTGCTGTGAATCAGCCCTACTTTCAGGACCCAAGGCAACCCCCTGGCCTAGGGGCTCCACTATCCCAGACACACGCGGCCTTGTTCTTCTCTCTTGCTTCCTGTTTTTATGTCTCTCTTCTCATTTCTCTCTCTCTCTCTCTCTCTCTCTGTCTCTTACACACACACACACACACACACACACGCATCCTTGCCAAGGAGGCTTACCAGATAAGAAAAAATCTCAATTTTCTGAATGGCAAGGAAATGCTGGAGTGGTTGGATCCTCCTTTTCTCCTGGTTTCTTTGTCATTTCTGTCTGCTCCCTGGTAACCCAGAGACCCTTGCTAGTGGTCAGACGCATTTTAGAATATTCCAGGAGGGTCCTGACATTGGCAGTCCTCATGCCTACAAGGATTACAGCTGCTGCCTGAGAGGGAAGCCAGGAAGGAGGTGGCAGCATTAAAAGATGCGGCTGGTATTTAACACAACCAAGGGTACCTTGGTTTAAAAGGATGTCTGCCGCTGGAGCCCCTGAGTCTTCCAAGGATGGGAGGTCAGAGAGGGTGCTTCTCTACTTAACAGATAGGAAAACTGAGGCAAGGGACGTGGACTGAGCAGAGAAGGCACTGGGAATCCTGGCTGATTCCTTCTGGGGTAGACACCAGCCCTTGCTATTCGGCCAGGCCAGCAGCATCTTCCTCATTCTAGGGCTTTTCTCCCAGAAGACTTTGGAGGACACCAGCTGAGACTGGCTTCTGGGAGGGCTGGATTTGGCTCAGGCATCTCCTCTAAGTTGCTTTTCTTTGGCCCAGCCTGCCCAGTGCTGCCTTGGCCGGGACGGCGGTGGGGGGATAGCTCTTATCCTGGGGTTCTGAATTGGTCACCAGCTTCCTGTGTCCCCCAACTGAGGTGGAGGGGCCTGTACAGGAGCCTTTCAATACCTGCGGCTCCTTCACTTCCCACCGGAGCCCCGGCAGAGCTCAGGCACAGCCATGGGCCTGCCAGCTGCCTGCTGCCATGGAATGGGAGTCTGTGCGCGGAGGCTTTTAGAGTCCCTAGGACAAGTCTTGAGGGTCAAAAGGAGGGGAGTGTGGGAGAGGAGATCTTTACAACATCAGAGATGGGAGGAGTCCCTGGGACTACCTAGCCGAGCCTCCTGACTATCCTGAAGGGGAAACTGAGGACCAGAACAGGGAAGCGACTTAAGGCCACACGATGAGTCAAGGTTAAGGATCTCCCATCAGGCTCCAGGTCGGCTGTTCTTCCCACAGCACACACCCAGGCTGGGCCCAGCACCCACTGGGCACAGCTCCGCACAGCAGCACACACCAGCCCAGGCTCCTGCTGCCTCCCCAGCTGGGCCTGAGTTGGAGTAGAAGAGGCCCCCATGCTTCCTCTAAGGGCTCAGTTTTTGAAGTTGAGATTCAGAGAGCGAAAGTGATTCTCCCAAAGCCACACAGTTGGCTAATGACAGAGCCTGGGCTAGAACTCTGTCACGTAAATGTAAAGGCCTTCCCCTGGCTGATCTGATGTCCCAGGAAAGAAGGCTCACGTCCTTTAGCTCCAGTTCTGAGTCCCATTCCCACACCCCAGTCACATGACTTGCCTCTTGTTGGCTTGTAGATGGGCCCCTGTTAGGCCACTTGTCTTGCAGGGGGTATTATCTAAAGAACTTCAGGCAAGAGGTGGCTGGGGCAGTGCCTGGCGGGATGTGGGCTGGGCAGCTGGGTGCACAGGAGGATGGGCCCTCCAGGGTCTCCTGCCCTCCTCCGTCAGCACTATGGGGGCTCAGAAGGTCATGCTGGCAGGGCTCCAGATGGCCCTGGTGGCATTGCCCCCCACAGACCTCTCACCCTGAAGCCCACGAGGTTCTAGTCATTCCTGGCTCCCTGCTACCATGCTGATGTCCAGGTGCCAACCACCTTTCCCGACAGGCTCCGGCCACCCAGAGGATGAGAGCGCCAGAGGGCTTTGGGGAAGGAAGCCCATCTGAGAACTATATCCTGGCATCTCAAGACGGCATGTAGGTTTGGTCCTAAAATAGATGTGCCTAGCCTAGGATCCCTCTCCCCTGCGGTGCTGAGGAGGCCTCTGGCTAGAAAAAGGAGAAAGACTCTCTGGATGGAGGTGCTGGGAACAGATGAGTTGGGAGTGGAGAGTAGATGAGTTGGGAGCGGAGAGTAGATGAGTTGGGAGCGGAGAGTAGATGAGTTGGGAGTGAAGAGTAGATGATTTGGGGGTGGGTAGCCTGGTAAAGCAGCTGTTCTTTTTCTCTGGCAATAATGACCTTGAGGGTCCAGGAGCTGCTCGGGAATGGGGGCAATTGGACACTGGGTGCTCAGCTTGGCTCCTTGGGATTCCATGGGAGGGGGCTTCCCCTTATAGCTCTGGCAAAGTCACTGTTATCCCAACCACAGCTGCCTCTGCTTCTTAACTGGGACAAACTCCCTGTAAACAGATGGCACAGGGACCAGGAGCTGTACGCCTCAACAGATTGAGAGCCTCTCCTGAGGGCAAATGGGCAGAGGGAGAGGGTGCGTCCTGCCAGGAGGGGAAGTGCACATCACAGCTGTTGGCCAATACACTGGCCTGGCCTGTGGCCACGGGGGAGAAGGATTAGAGTTGTCCCATTCCGCCCCAAGGCAAAACATTAGGACTGGCGGGCAGAGACAGATATTGATCTGATAGAAGTCAGAGCTGTGCAGAGGGTTGAGTGTCTCTGAAGTAATGAGATCCCCATCCAGGAAGGTATTCAAGCATAGCTTGGGAGTGTTGTCAAGAAGATTCACATATCAGGGTCACATATCAGGGCATACTTTTAGATGTCTTCTAAGTCCCTGACAATGGCCCTCTTCACTCCTCATTTTAAGATTCAAAAGATAGAAGTGGGATTAACTCTTGCTTGCCTGAAGGTAAATATGACACACTCAGAGGCACATCCCTGTCGCTCTGCCTTCTTCCTCAGTCATGCTCTTCTCTAGGCTGCCTCTGTGCCCCTGTATGCCTTTACCCAGTTTCTCAATGGCGGGGAGAGGGGAGGTGGTGAGTCCCTATTCACGGTGAGAAATAGGCTGGGAAAGGGGGGGAATTTGGAGCTAGGCACCTTTGGGGAACTTCTTTCTAAAGATCAGGTCAAGTCTAATTTGTGTCCTTGGCTCTGCAGCCAGGACAAAGCTGCCCCATCCTTCCAGTCGAGACTGTAGATAAAAGGTGACAGTCCTCTCGGCCTTCCCCTCCCTTTGACCTTTGCCAAAGTCTTCAACCTCCCCATCGCTTCCCCATAGCACACTCACATGGTGTGGGCTCTCCGGCGGAGCCGACGCTGTCGTTGTCGGAAGGGCCCTGAGGATGGGTTCACATCCAAACCTTGGATACGGGAGCTGGGGTGCGGGAGTGAGAGTTGGCTAGACAAATAACAACAGGCACCATTTATTGAGCACCTACTCTGTGCCTGGTACTGAGTGAAGCACTCTGTGTATCTCAGCTGACTTAATCCCCAGGACAACTCTGGAACACGCATTCTTTTCTCACTTTTACAGATGAGGAGACCAAGCTTCTCCTATACTAAGTATGTGTGCACACAAGGTGACAGAGCTGGAAAATAGCAGAGAACTCAGACCAGGGCGGTGTGACACCAAAGCCATCACATCACCCTGGGAGAAAGGGCAGTGGCCTGGCTGGCCTCTTACAGCTCACAGACTTAGGGGTGGGTGGGGGAAGGGATCTGGAACCAACCTCAGAATGACCGTGGACAGCGAGGCAGAGGTAAAGTGTTAGGAAGCAGAGGGGAAGCCTTCTCAGTAGGCCCCTAACATCCCACCACTACGTGGCCTGGCCCTTGACCCCACAGTCATATGCAAACAGCTCTGGGCTCTGCTGGCCACCTTCTCCTCTCTTGGCTTCTGAAAACCTGTAAAACCTCTTTACCTGCTGGCCAGTTGTCTCCTTGTCCCCACCCCCCCTTCTCGGTCTGTGTCACGCTCCACCCTCTCTAAGTTACTCTTCACTCCAGGAAGACTCTCCTCTGCTCCGTGCTTCCCCCCTTCCTCTCGGCCTCTCCCTCTCTCCCCCACCTTCCTCCCCTGCCATATCTCCTCTCCTGCTCCACATCTTCCCTCTGCCCTCACGTTGCAGGATCCACTGCTTCTTGGGGACCAGAGGACGGGACCAGTACATTTGGAGAGTCCTGCCTGGCACTCCACGCCATTTTATGCTTCTGGTTTGGTCAGTCTGTCTCAGTGCCCAGTTCAGGGGCAGGCCCAGGTCTAGGGTTCCAGGACATCTGGCGACTCAGCTGACAAAGTCATGCCAGGGACAGTCAGGCTGCAATGAATGAGAAATCTTGCCAATGCCTACAGCCCCCAGCCCTCCTGAGCCCCCATTCTCCCTTGATGGGAGGGCAGGGGGGCATGGTAACCCGTGAAGCAGAGGGAAACACAGCTCTGGGGTGCTGGGTAGGGTGGCTGAGACCCTGCCCTGGGGCTTCATACCCCACCGCAATGTGGC